TGTACTTAGTTTCAAATCCATATATCTCTCCATTTTCTACTAGCTAGGGTTATTGGAAATTTTTACAGTGTTTGTATTTATATTGTCTTTCGTTATTTATAATAGAATAAGTTTAGTTTGAGATTGTCTCATCTTAAAATATGTTGTACTATTTTTTAGTTAAAAGACAATACTTTATATGAATCATAAAAAATATTATAATTTATTAACTAAAAAATATATATTTCACGATCTCACGGAAGACTTACTCTTTATATCATATATTCTTTACGAATAAATGATTTCGCCATATAGAAGAGAGCTTCGGACGGCATCCATAGAGACTTGGAATCAGTTGCGGCGCGGCCTTCCTTTGCATCCTGCCGTGGCTAATGTGGTCCATACTTATGGGGAATTGACTGACATGTGCATATTTTTTTTTTTTTTTTTTATTTGAGAGGAAACATGTGCATAATTTTATCGAATTAATTAGACAATTAAAAATATACAACTTTTGAAATCCAGACAAATATACACAAAACTCAGGTAGTAAACGTGATTTTTGGTATTGAACAAATTAAAAATGCATTTCCTAAATACTCTTCAAATTTTCCCTAAATTTATTTTTTAAACATAGAAGTAAAATCACATATGCCATATGCCGCTTAGGTGTTTTTGGAACAAGTTATTATTAATCGGTAAGAATTAATTGTATTTAATTTTGTAACTGCAAATATTATTATAATAATAGATATAACATTATATAACCGCTTCAAACATTATAATTTAATTATTAAATTGGATTGATGTGAAATACTTAATGCTGGGATTTAATTAATCCACTATATATACCTATGTGTTTGGGAAGAATTTTATGAGCCAAGATTTTTTTTTTTTTTTATCTTTCCCTAAGTTGTCTTTCTTTCTCAATTGAAACTCTACCCATTCAATTCAATTCATTCCTAAAAGCTTGTGTTCATCAAGCCGTTCTAGTTCGCCGATGGTACTATAGTTCGAGTGCTCAAACTATAGTATCGTTAATTCATCTTATCCTGAGAGACTAAGACTGCAACGCTTCTAGCACCATTGAGAGGTAGCAAATCAGTTTAAGAACAATCTGGGTATCACACGTCTTGGATCCCTTTTCCTTAATTATTTTTCTTGTCAATCTCATAAACAATACCGCATATGGAGAATTCTATTTGCACCACCATAATTGCTATTTACACCACACTTTGATAAGTGTGCTAGCTTTATAGGTGGTGTAAATAGAAAATTGCTATTTGCACCACATTTATTAAAGTAAATCAAACATTATGTTTTTATTTTAAAAATATTTATTATTTATTTTTTTTCAAAAATAAACATTAAAACATTTAAAAAAAAAAAAAAAAAAAAAACAACCCATCACCTTCCCCGGTGAGAAGGCTACCCGCACGGCTGCCTTCTCACTGGAGAAGGCGAGGGGTAATAGTAAATAAAAAGAAATTTGACGAACCTTTCTCTAATATAATTGCAGTTAGCAAAATAAATTGGAGAGCTAAGCTATAAAATTAAGGTATATTTTCAATCGAGTTAATTCTACTAGAGGTCATTTGTCTTTGGCGGTAATTCTGAATTGGAATAAGGTCCAAATTGACCATTGAACGTAACCTGAAAGTGCAATTAGGTCACTGAACGAAAAAAGAGTGCAATTAAACCACTGGATACTCCAAATGTATACAATTTTACCTGATAGTAGGTTTTCATCCATTTCATCAGGTTGCCTGCTTACAAGGATGGTGAGTAACTATTTTTTTTTTACCATTCAGTAACTAAAAAGAAAAAAAAAAATAAAACAATATTCTCTACTACACTGCTAATGAAATCTTTTCGCAGAACAACAACAACAACAATATTAATAATAAATAAACAACACTGTCTTTAATATTTTATTAAATAATACACCTTTTAGCTTCAAAAGAAGTGACTGGGTAATAGAGTTATCACAAATTTAATTCTTACAAATACCTTCTCGCTTGAATTCATTACACAGAATCTTTCCTAATTTACACATTCAAATAATCACTATGGATTTACCCTATCACTAAAAATTAATACACCTTTTAAATATCTTTTAAAAAGATAATGCAAAATTTAACCAGCCAACCATATAAAATAGGCGGTATTCCAATCGAAAACGTGTAGTAGTACAATAACAACAAAGGTGAGGTTGTTGATTTGTTGTCGGGTATATATATATATATATATATAATGGGGTGGAGTGAAGGCAGGGGACCAACTGCCCTTACGTCCCCATTCTGAATCTGTCCATGTTGGGAACGAATTGAAAGAACATGAAAGGGAAGACTATCCCTATGAACTATCAACTCATGGTAATAATGAATATAGTTGAGTATATTTACTTCTCACTAGGGATGATAATAATTTTAATTCGCCCCGTATTTAAATTCATCCCACATGAATAATTTTTTTTTTTTTTTTTTTTTGGGTGATAATGGTGGTGAAATAGGATGAGTCTTACAAAATAAAATTCAATGTGGGTCAAGTTTAATTTAAATTTTATGTACAAAATCCACTTAAAATTTCACCTGACAATCCACCTATATATATATATATATATATATATATATATATATATATATATATATATATATATATATATATATGTGTGTGTGTGTGTGTGTGTGTGTGTGAAAATTAATTAAAAGTAAGATAAGTATTAGTATGTAGTTAATTATAAAAGTTTCTATATTTTTGGTTAACTTTTTAGTAAACTAATAAGTTTATTTTTTTAAAAAAAAATTAATTATTATATTTAAATATTTTTTATTATTTTATGTTTTAATATAAGTAGTGAATTTTATTATTTATTATATATAAATAATTTAAATATTATTTTTAAAAAAATTAATAAGATAATAAATGTTGGTATTTATAGTGGGCACTTACACTTAGTAGAGCTAGGGTGAATTTTGAAAAAGTTCATTCGATGCAGGTTGGTGTTGGGAGTGAGTGGAGAAAGTATAAAATGTGTCATATGGTGGATGTAGCCCTCCCTGACCCACACTCAAGTCCTCAACTCATTGTCATCGATCCCTACTTTTCGGGTACCTCATAAAATGACCCCATCATTTTTTTATTTATTTATGTATGTTCAATTGTTCAATCTACTAGATCATGGTTTCAATGTGTTATATATATATATATATATATATATATATATATATATATATATATATTCTTGCTTCTTTTCCCAAATTATACCTAGACCCTTAGGGATTTCTTTTATTTTTCGTTGCATAAGATTTTATTTAATGTAGTTTATCTTTCTTTTACAATTTGTGAGTTATTATATAAGAGTATAGTTTACTCATTGCTCACGGTTAAATATTGCCCTCAAATTTCTCTTGCCACTACACAAAAAAAAAAAAAATAATAATAATAATAATAAAAATGCATTTGATTATTTGAACAATGCTAATATTTTGATAAATTTGTTAATTTTACAAGAATTGAAAAGTAGTCGGTCTTAATATCATACTACTACACTATAATAAAGAGTTCTCTTACATATACTTTAAAATTTTACTTCCTCAAATTTAGGCATGATGTAGCGAGAACTGATAAGTTATTATTATTTTTTTTAATATGGACTCCTGTAAAAATGTCTATATCAAAATTATAAGCATAGGAGTAGATGTTGGGAGTAGAGAAGGAGAATACTAATAGTATTTTCCTATAATAAATTAATTAGGAATTCTCGGTGAAGTTATAGTACGTGTGGCTCAGAGTTCTACTGCCTCAAAAAACAAACAAATCAATCAATTAAAGATCATCAGACAAGATCGATATAGGAAAATTCATCATCAATTGACTAAACAAAAGACAAGATGTGACGTTTTTATATTATAAACAAATCAGTTTTTATATATGATTGAGATGTTTTTTTTTTTTTTTTTCTCCTAAGAAAATTTTAGGTCCACAAAACACCCTTTGTACCAGATGAGGCCTAAGTCTTTCATTAACAAGAACGAAGAAAAGCTTCATCGAAAGACTGCAAATTACAAGCCAAACATTTGGAAATACGATGTCATACAGAATCATACAAGTGAATCCGAATCTTTTTTTTTTTTTTTTTTTTTTTGCTGGTGCATGCATAATGCATGTATTCTACTATTAAAGGGGGAAGAGTTCTCTAAAAGAGCAGCTGAGCTAAAAGAAGTTGTGGGGAAAATGGTGGAGGTAAAAATGGATCCATTGGAAACCCTTGAGCTTGTGGATCTCCTGCAAAGACTGGGCGTATCCTACCATTTTGAGGATGAAATACCACTACTGGAAATTATTGAATTTCCGATCACCTGAAAGTGATCTTTAATCAAGTCAAAAGCAAAAAGTGGTCGGAAATAGCAACAAAGGGTTTTCCGGATACCAAAAGTGGTCGGAACAAGACTTTCGACTTAATTTAAGATCACTTTCAGGTGGTCGGAAATTCTATAATTTCCAGTTGTGTACAGCAAGTATTATAGTGGTGCAATGTTTGGAAGCATAAAAGAGATTAGAGTCTCAAAACTATATAATTCAAACTTTTTTTGAATGTATATTGTATATATAATGGTGCAAATCCAATTCTTTTTTTCAATGCGGGGCAAAGACTATTTATAAGCCTTGTCAACCCATATGTGTTTATTTTGAGAATCTGTTTTGAGCTTATAATATATAGATTTTTTTTCCATATTACTACGAAGAACTCGAATCTACCTGACTGAATCCAAATAAAAAGTGGATCCTCCATATATTTGTACCATAAAATAACCAGTTAAAATGATAATTTTATGATTTTTTTTTTCAACAATATAATATTAAAACAAAAAGGTTGAATATTTTCAGTAATTAATCTTACAATAATTGATAATTACGCAATCATGGATGCATGACTTTTCAATTAATTTAGAAGTCATCGGCGCCTACTATACTCTAGTCCCTCTATATATATAAGCCCACTCTTCGATACTCTTGGATTCATCAGCCATCTGCCTATTAGCGCTAAGTGAAATCGTATTCTTATTACTTAGTCTGTCCATTTTACAAAATAAGTAGAAATGTATAATGGTAATAGGAGATCAGGGAATTATAAACCAAGCATCTGGGATGATGATTATGTGCAATCTAGAACCGCTATCTACACTGTAAGCTAAGCTACACATAAAATTAAGACTTTATATTAATGTTATGTTTTCTTATTCATAAGGTAACTATATATTCCTCGTACTGATACAGATCAGATGGCGTTTTTTATTTTCTTTATGTTTTATCTGGTGCATGCATGCATTCTACTATTACAGGAAAAAGAGTTCTCTAAACGGGCAGCTGAGCTAAAAGAAGGTGTGAGGAAAATGGTGGAGGAAAAAATGGATCCGTTGGAAAAGCTTGAGCTTGTGGATCTCCTGCAAAGACTGGGCGTATCCTATCATTTTGAGGATGAAATACACCATGTTTTGGAGCATATGTACACCTCTTGCTGCTGTAATGGTGATCAAGATTTATATGCTACTTCTTTGCAGTTCCGGCTGCTTAGACAGCAGGGATACAAAGTCCCTCAAGGTACCTACATTGAACACCCATGCAAGCACTCCCTAGAATATATAACTAAACCTGGCCTCGTATGATAAGACAGAAACATGGTTTCTGTTTTTTTTTTTTTTTTTTTTTTTTTTGCAGAGGTTTTCTGTGGTTTCATGGACGACGAAGGAAATTTTAAGAGAAGCTTGAGCGAGGATACGAAGGGAATCCTTAGTCTGTATGAAGCAACATACCTATGCATGGAGGGTGAGAGCATTATGGAAGCAGCCCAACATTTCTGCACTAAACATCTTAGAGAAATCCAAAACATGAAGGTCATATTAGATCAAGATCTGGTGGACCATGCTCTAGAAATGCCTCTATACTGGAGGATTCAGAGGTTTGAAGCAAGATGGTTCATATCCGTTTATGAAAACAGACACAACATGAACCCAGTTTTATTGGAGTTTGCTAAACTGGACTACAATATGGTTCAAGCCAAATATTTGGAGGAATTAAAGCAAATGTCCAGGTGATGAGTGCATACACTTGGTTTTAATGCAACCTAGACAAATGAAACAAACTTCAATAAATAAATAAATAAATAATTAGATCAATCTAGCTACCAGTCTTGCCATATATATGTAGTTGCAAAGATGGAAGAAATCAAAGAATTTTCTAATTTTTTTTTTTTCCATAATATTATAGGTGGAATAGAGATATCCGTCTAGCGGAGAAGATGAGCTTTGCAAGGGACCGGTTGGTGGAGGGTTTCTTATGGGCTATGGGGTTCACTCCTGATCCTCAGTTCGAATACTGCAGAAAGATTTCAACTAAGCTCGCTGTACTGTTAACAGTTCTTGATGACCTTTACGATGTTTACGGAGGCTTGGGCGATCTGGAGATCTTTACTGATGTCGTTCAGAGGTTTGTCTGATCTCTTAGCTTATATATGAATCATGTTTCAAGTAATGCTTTTATTTTTGCATGGACTAATGCACTTTTTATTGCATATATATTTCATATATAGATGGGATGTAAATGCAGCTGAGACACTTCCAGAGTATATGAAGATTTGTTTTCTAGCCATTTTCAACTCCATGAATGAACTGGGTTATGATGTTCTGAAAGACCAAGGTTTAAGCATTATTACAAACATAAGAAAACAGGTAATCCATATATTATTCACGGCCAGTAACTAAACCAGAGATCAGTATTATTAACCAGATAATTAAGCTGTCTTGATTCCAGAAATGATAAGTGTACTCAAAGGAGTAAAATTTCAGGATTTTATTAAAGAAATAGAAAATAAAAAATCAAAACTGTACTGTGGCATACTTTTTTATGGATCAATGAAAGTATGCCACAGTCACCGCGAGAAGTAGAAAATAAAGTAAAAAGCGAAAAGTATATATTTTATTACTGTTCTGATTAATCTTATTTGTGTATATTTGCGCATATATATATATATATATATATATATATATATATATATATATATATTTCAGTGGGCAAATCTCTGTAAATCATACTTACTGGAAGTGAAGTGGAATGTGGGTAGATATACTCCAAGCCTGAATGAGTACCTGGATACCGCCTTCATAACAATTTCTGGTCCTCTACTATTAATGCATGCTTATTTTTGCATTACAAATCCCATTAACGTTGAAGATCTGCAACACTTAGAACAATATCCTGGAATCATTCGCTGCTCTGCCATGATTCTTCGTCTTGCAAATGACTTGGGAACTTCACCGGTACATACATGAATTACTATTTTAATTAATTTCTTTTCTTTTCTGAAAACATATATGATTAATTTGATGATGTTACGTTGTTGAAAAGGATGAAATGCTGAGAGGAGATATTGCGAAATCAATCCAGTGTTATATGCGTGAAAGTGGGTGTTCAGAAGAGAAAGCTGGGGAGCATATCAATGGCTTAATTGCAGAAACGTGGAAGAAACTGAACACAGAATTAGTGAAGATGGAGCGTCCTCTTCCCAAAGAGTTTAGAAGAACAGCGATGAATCTTGCTCGAATTTCTCAATTTATATACCAACACGGAGACGGATTTGGTGTCCGCCCAGATGAGATGAAGAATCGCATTGTGGATCTGTTCTTTGAACCCATCCCCATGCCGTGAAATCTGCCTGCGGCCAATTCCCATCCATCCTCAGCTATCTAAATCTATATATAAGTAATCTACAGATTCCTTTTCGTCGTGTCAGTGGTGAAATCTGCTTTGGTGTTCGTCCGATCCAGATCACAACAAGAATCGCATAGCATCTCTGTTCTTTGAACCCATTCCCCTTCCCTGAAATCTGCCTGTAATTCCTTAGTAATATAAATAAGGAATCATATATTTTCTTCTATGTTGGTGTTGAATGTTATAAGTAATATTCATTTTGGTTTATTTTGTTATTATGAACCTGATTTTTGCAAAATAGTCTTCTCAATTAAATTTTTCAGAAAGTAATTTTGAGAAAACTATTTGCAAATAACCATTTTGCTGGAAAATTAATAAATATGTTTAGTATTATTCGAAAATATACCAATTGAATTTCTGGTCAAGTTCTAGAAGCATTTAGCTCATTTAAACTTTTCATTGAACATTTTGTCGAGCTTCATTCCAATGAGTTAATACTATCTGAGGTCCTTCGAGTATAGTGATTTTGTTATGTTTATTCTTAAACTTTCAAATTAATCATCTTTGGTCCTTCGACTTTTAAATTGTTACCATCCGTGGTCTAAGTTAATCATTCATGGTCCTTCAACTATTAAATCTTAACCAACCGTAGTTCTCTTGAAAGGACCACAGTTAGTTAAATTTCGAAAGTTGATCGACTATGAGTGGTTAACTTGGACTATGAATGGTTACATTTAAAAGTCGAAGGACCACAGATGATCAATTTGAAAGTTTAGGACTAAACGTGACAAAATCATTATACTCGGAGGACATCATGTGGGAGAAGCAAAAATAAATAAGCAAAAATAGATGGTCAATTTGAAAATTTAGTAATATAAATAAGGAATCATATATTTTCTTCTATGTCGGTGTTGAATGTTGTTATAAGTATTCTTCATTTTGGTTGATTTTGCTATTATGGCAAGATTGAACCTGATTTTTGCAAAATAGTCTTCTCAATTAAACTTTTCAGAAAGTAATTTTGAGGAAAGTATTTGCAAATAACCATTTTGCTGGAAAATTAATAAATATGAAAATATAAAAATTGAATTTCTGGTCAAGTTCTAGAAGCATTTAGCTCATTTAAACTTTCCATTGAACATTTTGTATAGCTTCCAATATTACCGTATACCAATAAAGGGGGAGGGGGAAGCAAAAACAAAAAACAAAACTACCCAAGCACAAATATAATATATCTGCCACTGCCACTAACTTATATATAGATTTAAATATATGGGAAGTACACAAGAACATAGGGGAAAAAGCAATTAGAGCAACCTAAATACTTTGGTCAGCCTGTTTTTTTAATTAAAATATAAATAAATAAATAAAGGAGGCCTTCAATTGAGAGTGGCCGCCAGCTGGTGGCCACTCTCAATCGTTACTCCTATTGGGGTTGCCCTTAAGAAGGTCACAAGTACTGGTCCCGTTCCAATAAAATATATCTTATGATTTACATGTACACATCACAATATTTGTTAAGCTACCTTCGAATAATATTATTATAGTACGTGGTTGAATGTTGCTGAAAAATAAAGGAAAAGGGGTAGAGTATTACAAACTTAAAGGATCTGTTTATTAATCAAAGAATTTCTCTTAGAAAGAATTGGAAAGTACAAAACATGTTTACTTACACAATTTCTCATTTTAGAAAATTGGTAACATTTTCTAATAATTTTATAGAAAACTGGATAACTTTTAAAAACTATTTTATAAATGAAAATCATAATTACTATTAACTATATATTTGACAATATATTTATCAACACAACCACATTCTTACCACTATCTACTATTATCATCTTCTTTTACTTATCACCATCCTGATTTGAGACTCAGCCGTGGACTCACGCTGGCACTCACGGTGTGAGTGTCAGCGTGAGTTTGGTGTGAGTGTCAGTGTGAATCTCTCTAGGCTTCACACTTCCATTTTGCTCCTTCGCTCCCCAGTATGTTTTCGGGTGCTTTCCTTATGCTTTTAAGCCTCATTTTGTTGAAAAAATAGCATTAAAATGACATTTTAAGTGGCTATATTGTGGTACAATTATCAGTGGGGTCCACTTCTGATTTGGGTCGGGTCAAAGTGTATTCGGGTTCTTCGTAGTGAGACGAAGAGATTGATATATTGTACGCTCAAAACGGATAATGGGTGAATGAGATATTGATTCTCAAAGTAGACCCATTGATGAGTTGGAAAAATGAAGGGAAAAAGTGAGCTTTTGTCCCACATTGGTTTGGGAAGAGGATTTGCCCCACTATTTATAGAAGAGTCTTTTAAAGGCTTAATGAATGTATAGCATAGACGTTTTCTCTCGCGCGCAGGGGTGGGTAAATTCTTTGGAAAAAGTGGTGTCTTGACTCGGTAAAGTCTCTATACCCAAACATGAGCCAATCTTCTTCTCTCTTTCTATAATATATATATTCAATAATATTTTATATATTTCGATTTGGTTCATTATCACCAACAATTTTCTCCTAAGATTAGCATCCTTTCATGCTTGCTTGCACCATTCGATCTTTTCCTCCTTCAATCAAGATACACCAAATTATGCATTGTTGCACCTTCCTTTACCTAACATTTGAGCCAATTAAAAACAAGTATAAATGAACACAAAAATAACACTATTTCATGACATATCAATACAGTAAGATATAAGCCACGTACTATCAAATCAATAATATTAAACTTCGCCCGCATGGGTAGCTCAACTGGTCATAGAGGTGAAACTTTAGAAGAATGACCAGGGATTGAGACTCACCAGCGGTAGTGTGGGAGCAACCGGTCTAGCTGAACCCCAACCCTAAGGGGGCCCCCCACACCCGCTCTGTTGGGCCGGGGTGAATAATATTAAACTTAAACTTCTTCCAAAAGGCTGAACCCCAACCCTAAGGGCCCCCCACACCCGCTCTGTTGGGCCGGGGTGAATAATACTAAACTTCTTCCAAAAGGCTGAACCCCAACCCTACAGGCCCCCCACACCCCGGCTCTGTTCTTCCAAAAAGGCTGAACCCCAACCCTAAGGGCCCCCGCACACCCAGGGGTGAATAATATTAAACTTCTTCCAAAAGGCTGAACCCCAACTCTAAGGGCCCCCAACTTCTTCCAAAAGGCTGAACCCCAACTCTAAGGCCCCCCACACCCCGCCCACACCCGGGGGTGATGAATAATATTAAACTTCCTGAACCCCAACCCTAAGGGCCTCCAACTTCTTCCAAAAGGCTGAACCCCAACCCTAAGGGCCTCCAACTTCTTCCAAAAGGCTGAACCCCAACCCTAAGGGCCCCCCACACCCCGGCCCGACAGAGCCACACACCGGCCCGACAGAGCAAGGCTGAACCCCAACCCTAAGGGCCCCCCACACCCCGGCTCTGTTCTTCCAAAAGGCTGAACCCCAACCCTAAGGGCCCCCAACTTCTTCCAAAAGGCTAAACCCCAACCCTAAGGGCTCCCAACTTCTTCCAAAAGGCTGAACTCCAACCCTAAGGGGCCCCCACACCTCGCCCACACCCCGGGGGTGATGAATAATATTAAACTTCTTCCAAAAGGCTGAACCCCAACCCTAAGGGCCCCCAACTTCTTCCAAAAGGCTGAACCCCAACCCTAAGGGCCCCCACATCCCGGCCCGACAGAGCATCCCCACACTGTCGCTGGTGAGACTCGATCCCTGATCATTCTTCCAAAGTTTCAACCATAATATTAAACTTCTAATAAATCCCATGATAATTGAGAACCACAAATATTTCATGGCTTGCATTTTTTCCAAATCCCAACACAAAAATTCATGACGACGCAGATAACATGTATGTGAGTTTTCATGTTTGTTAAGTTCGAATATGGTTTTCTAAAACGTTTTAAAAATGTAAACGATTGTGACCGGAGGCTCACTGATCTCCCTATATAAAGCAATACATCTTTTATTTTTTTTAATCATCTCATCATCAATAGCAATTCCTTTTTATAAACACTCTTGCATTGATCCAAGGATTTCTGCTAAGAAAATGTCTGGTGAACAAAATCTCCCATCTAACCCCATATTGCTAGACTCTTCCTTTACCAACAAAGAAGAAACCCATCCCAGAACTGCCAATTACAAGCCAACCATTTGGAAATATGATTTCATAGTAGAGTCTCTTACGAGTAAATATGTTGTGAGTATTCAACCATCTTTACATATATATATATATATATATATATATATATATATATATATATATATATATATATATATATATATATACTTTTATTATTACTGCATTTTGAGCATATAATAGTCCATGTCTTGAGGGAGATTAGTAGGACTGTGTAGCATTATCAACTTATATGAGCCACCTTTTTAATTTTTTCTTTCTGGGTTTAGCCATGGGTGGGACAGTTGGGCTAGAGATTTAAGGTTGCTACATATATAAAGTCAATGATCAAACCCTTGACTTTTGGTTAAGGGTAGATGAGTCTCTTCTACTTAACCACACCCCAGGTTAACACCATATATATATAATGAATTTATACAAACTTGTATGAAACCATTGTACAGTACAATCTCAAAACTTAGGCGTGAGATAATGAACTTATACATGCATATATGCTACTCCTTGCACTCTATGCAATAATGAATTATTTACGAGTGTACAATTACATGCAAGGCAGTGAACATTAATGTTGATAATATATATGAATTATTTACTGACACGTACGGCAACGTAACCTGTGTGAATATAATTGATAATTTCAGGACGTGAAATACCAAAGAAGAGCTGAGAAGCTGAAAGAGGAAGTGTCGTGCCTTTTCGACAAAACGGTGGATGCATTAGCTAAACTTGAGCTAATAGACAACATAGGGAAGATGGGTCTTTCCCATCACTTTGAGAAGGAAATCATCCAATCTCTGGACCACATTTTACTCTCTGTTAATAACAACAAATGTTTTACCTCTCAAATGGATCTCTATGCCACTGCCTTGTCTTTTAGGATTCTAAGACAATATGGGAATCATGTTTCTCAAGGTACGTACGCACATAATATGATTATTAGCAACGTAACGTAACCTAAACCTATTCGTGGGTTCCATGCATTATTGGATTCTGGTGAAAATAGGCAAGTTGACTATTCCTTTCAAAAAAAAAAAACAAGTTGACTATGATGTTTTAGGATTTCTTTAGCATTTAACGCGTGCACGTACAAATGAATTATAATAACGTTTTAGAAATGTTTTTGTTTTCCATTTATGGCAGATGTATTTTTGACTTTTATGGATGATGTGGGAGAGTTCACAATAGAAGAAGAAGGCCCCAAAGCAATTCTTGAACTTTTCGAAGCCTCTCATTTGGCCTTAGAGGGAGAAGACATATTGTACAAGGCTCGAATTTATTGCACGGAGATCCTCAAGAATCTAACTTCAGAAGATTCAGATAATCGTTTGGTTGGTTCTTTACTACTCCCTTCGCATTTGACAGCAAATTGGTACAACGTAAGAAGAGAAATTTTGCAACGTGAAAATGAATCAATGTCAAATTCTCAGCTTCTTCATTTGGCAAAATTGAACTTCAATATTGTGCAAGTTGAACACCAAAAGAACCTTGTGGAAATCTTAAGGTAATATATATAAAAGTTTTGAGTTATCATTGTAGTATAGTATTCTTGATATAAATTATATTATATTGAATCTAACACTTTTTATTTTAATGGTTGTTGTCCTTGTTCATTAGATGGTGGAGAAATCTTGGACTGATAGAAAATATGAGTTTCACAAGAAATCGAGTGGTTGAAAGCTTCTTGTGGTCTGTAGGGGTGGCATTTGAACCTCAATATGGAAACTTCAGGAAGTGGTTGACCAAGGCCATAAAATTGGTTCTAATAGTTGACGATGTTTATGACATCTTTGGGTCATTACAAGAATTGGAAATCTTCACGACTGCCGTTGAAATGTGCGTTAATTTGTTTAATGAAATCTTCTCTCTCTCTTTTAATATCTATTTATTTTTTTAGTGGTAAGGGAACTCGTTGTCACTACATGAGGGTGTAGATTGGGTAAACTTCGAATTGTGTCCCTAACCGGCAAAGGACTACAATGAGATAAATCAATCTTGGTTGTCTATAACTAACCGACTCAAACTAAAAAAGTTAATACGCAGCTTTTATTGAGAGTCGAACTTGAAACGTTGTGATTACCAAACTAACAGCACAACTAACTACTATTGGTGTGAATGTTTTAATTGCAGGTGGGACCCTAGTGGAATTGAGGATTTACCAGAATGCATGAAAATTTGCTTTTGGGCTCTTTATGATATCACTAATGACACTGCTCGTCAAATCCATGAACAGAAGGGTTGGGACTGTGCGTTACCATATTTACAAAAAGGGGTACTTCACTTCTTAACAAAATTCTTGCAATTTAGGGTTGGACAACATGTCATTTCCTCCCCCATTTTTCCTTGTTTTAATTTGCTATATAATTAGGTTGTCACTTTGTATTTTTCTTTGAAATCTCAACCAATTCAACAAATAAAATATTTTTGTTTTTGGTTGGATTTAATTAGTGGGCAGATTTTTGCAAAGCTTTACTAGTGGAAGCAAAGTGGGATTCAATAGGCTACACTCCAACATTGTGGGAGTACCTAGACAATGCATGGATATCATCATCAGGCAGTGTGCTTTCACTTCATATACTTCTAGGAGTAGCTCAAGATTTCTCAGATATCATCCACTTTCTCAAAAATAATAAAGATCTCATCTATTATTCGTCTCTTATAATTAGATTGTGCAATGATCAAGGCACTTCAGCAGTAAGTACATACCAACATGACATATTACATTTTCATTTCAACGTCATATATTTTTGTATTGTGATATAAAACCAAATATATATAAACTAATGGTTGAATTTGTTTGATTCATTATAGGCGGAACTGGAAAGAGGTGATGCACCTTCGTCGATATTATGCTACATGAAAGAGACAGGTGTAACAGAAGAAGTGGCCCGCGAGCACATTAGAAATGTGGTTCATGAAACATGGACAAAAATCAACAAGTTTTGCTTCAACGACAGTTCTTCAATATTCTCATCCCTAGGAACCTTAGTCACATGTGTCACAAACACCGCCCGAGTGTCGCATTTTATTTACCAAAATGGAGACGGGTTTGGAGTTCCAGACCGTGAGACTCGAGACCAAGTCATCTCTTACTTGATTGAGCCCACTCCTCTCAATTAATTATTGGAAAAGAAGCTATGTAGTCCATAATATATGTAATATGTGATCATTTTCAATAAGGTTTAACGTAATTAATCATAATGCTTCGTGCGTGTACTTAGTTTCAAATCCATATATCTCTCCATTTTCTACTAGCTAGGGTTATTGGAAATTTTTACAGTGTTTGTATTTATATTGTCTTCCGTCATTTATAATAGAATATAACTTTAGTGTGAGATTGTCTCATCTTAGGACGTGTTGTACTATTTCTTAGTGTTACAGAGGCAAAATGGCAAAAACAGGTAGTGGAACGAAGACGCCATCTTACTGGATTCTTCAGCACTCAAAATATATCTTACAAAAACACAGTATTGACATGGGAAAAGGGATATGATTCCTTATTTATATTACACTCCATGTGGAGTGTGAAGCATAATTCACCACTGACATGACGAAAAGGAATCTGCAGATTACTTTTATATAAATAGATAGGTGAGGATGGATGGGAATTGCAGGCAGATTTCACGGCATGGGGATAGGTTCAAAGAACAGAGCCACAATGCGATTCTTCATCTCATCTGGGCGGACACCAAATCCGTCTCCGTGCTGGTAAATAAATTGAGCAATTCGAGGAAGATTCGTCGCTGTTCTCCTAAACTCCTTGGGAAGGGGACGCTCCATCTTCGTCACTAATTCTCCATTCAGTTTCTTCCACGTTTCTGCAATTAACCCATTGATGTATTCTCCAGCTTTCTCTTCTGAACACCCACTTTCACGCATATAACACTGGATTGATTTCGGAATATCTCCCTTCAACATTTCATCCTTTTCAACAACGTAACATCATCAAATTTAATCATATATGTTTCAGAAAAGAAAAGAAATTAATTAAAATAGTAATTCATGTATGTACCGGTGAAGTTCCCAAGTCATTTGCAAGACGAAGAATCATGGCGGAGCTGCGAATGATTCCAGGATACTGTTCCAAGTGTCGCAGATCTTCAATGTTAATGGGATTTGTAATGCAAAAATAAGCATGCATTAAGAGTAGAGGGCCAGTATTTGTTATGAAGGCAGTGTCCAGGTACTCATCCAGGCTTGGAGCATGTCCACCCAGATTCCACTTCACTTCCAGTAAGTAGAATTTGCAGAGATTTGCCCACTGAAATATATATGTGCAATTATATACAGATTAGCTAGATCAATATTGTTATGCGTAATTTACCAGTCAGGTCGAGACGTGGGACCTTGGGGCAAGGGACTTCTCGTTTTATGGGTAAGATCAATATTATTGATTAATTAGTTACGGGCAGTTCATAATATAATATATGGATTACCTGTTTTCTTATGTTTGTAATAATGCTTAAACCTTGGTCTTTCAGAACATCATAACCCAGTTCATTCATGGAGTTGAAAATGGCTAGGAAACAAATCTTCATATACTCTGGAAGTGTCTCAGCTGCATTAACATCCCATCTATATATGAAATATGCAGCAAAAAGTGCATTAGTCCATGTAAAAATAAAAGCATTTATATTACTTGGAACCAAAATAAAAATAAAAATATAAGCTAAGAGACAAACCTCTGAACCACATCAGTGAAGATCTCCAGTTCGTTCAAGGCTCCGTAAACATCATAAAGGTCATCAAGAATTGTTAACAGTACAGAGAGCTTAGTTGAAATCTTTCTGCAGTATTCGAACTGAGGTTCAGGAGTGAACCCCATAGCCCATAAGAAACCCTCCACCAACCTGTCCCTAGCAAAGCTCATCTTTTCCGCTAGACGGATATCTTTATTCCACCTATAATATAATATTATATATGAATTTTTATTTTTTTTAAATTTGTCTAGGTTGCATTAAAACCAAGTGTACGTATGCACATGCACTCACCTGGACATTTGCTTTATTTCCTCCAAATATTTGGCTTGAACCATATTGTAGTCCAGTTTAGCAAACTCCAATAAAACTGGATTCATATCGTGTCTCTTTTCATAAACGGATATGAACCATCTTGCTTCAAACCTCTGCACCCTCCAGTATAGAGGCATTTCTAGAGCATGGTCCACCAGATCTTGATCTAATATGACCTTCATGTTTTGGATTTCTCTAAGATGTTTAGTGGAGAAACGTTGGGCTGCTTCCATAATGCTCTCACCCTCCATGCATAGGTATGTTGCTTCATACAGACTAAGGATTCCCTTGGTATCCTCGCTCAAGCTTCTCTTAAAATTTCCTTGGTCGTCCATGAAACCACAGAAAACCTCTGTAACAAAAACAAATACGAGGTTTAATTATATATATGTTTTAGTGTTTTTATTTCTGGGGAGTGCGTGCATGGGTGTTGAAAGTATCTAGGTACCTTGAGGGAGTTTGTAGCCGTGCTGTCTAAGCAGCCGGAACTGCAAAGCAGTAGCATATAAATCTTGATCACCATTATAGTAGCAAGAGGTGTATATATGCTCCAAAACATGCTGTATTTCATCCTCAAAATGATAGGATACGCCCCAGGGCCGGATTTTAGGCTGTGCAAGCTGGGCTACCGCACAGGGCCCCCAGTTTTAGAGGGGCCCCAAATTTTAGAGGTCCAATATTTAATATTTACTGAGCTAGTTTAGATATAAAAATTAAAAGTTTTCAATTAAACTTAAAAGGTTCTATGAAGAGATGATAGCAATGTGTATTTATTGTATTTTTACTGGGAGGTTAAAGGTTCGAAACTTGCATATTAAAAATTATGATTTTGGAGGGCCTCAGTTATTTACCAGAACAGGGCCCCAAAAACCTAAAATCCGGCCCTGATACGCCCAGTCTTTGCAGGAGATCCACAAGCTCAAGCTTTTCCAATGGATCCATTTTTTCCTCCACCATTTTCCTCACACCTTCTTTTAGCTCAGCTGCCCGTTTAGAGAACTCTTCTCCCTGTAATAGTAGAATATAATACACGCATGCACCAGATAATTAAAACATAAAGAAAATGAAAAACGCTATCTGATCTGTATCACTACGAGGAGAGGAATAGGGCGGTACCCTATGAAAAAGAAAACATAACATTAATATAAAGTACTCTTAATTTTATGTGTAGCTTACAGTGTAGATAGTGGTTTGAGATTGCACATAATCATCATCCCAGATGTTTGGTTTATAATTCCCTGATCTCCTATTACCATTATACATTTCTACTTATTTTGGAAAATGGACAGACTAATTAAGTAATAAGAAAACGATTTCACTTAGCGCTAATAGGCAGATGGCTGATGAATTGTATAGTGGGCTCATATATATAGAGGGAATAGAGTATTCGCGATTGTGTGGCAAATTATATCGTGCACCAGGGAAGGTGTGAGGAAAATGGTGGAGGAAAAAATGAACACCTCTTTAATTTTGACCCTTACTATTTTTGACTAATCTCAGATTAAAGAGGTGTTCAGAAAATGGTGGAGGAAAAAATGAACACCTCTTTAATTTTGACCCTTACTATTTTTGACTAATCTCAGATTAAAGAGGTGTTCAGTTTTGACTCACACCTTCTTTTCCAATGGATCCATTTTTTCTTCCACTGAGTTAAGAATTTATGTTTATTATTTTAAAAGGTTATGTGTATTATGTATTATGTTAGATTATATGTATTATGCTAGGAGTTTATGTGTATTTTAATATACAATATTGTACATACGAAACATGAAATTTTTAGGACGCACAACGCATTGTGCACGATATAACAATTGCAATTGTGTGGACCATGAATATCATGTACATTCTTTTTTTTTTTTTTTTTTTTTTTTTTTTTTTTTTTTGAAAATACATGTACATTCTTAATATACTAAAAATACATTATTGTGTACATAACTGTGTTGACCATGAACACCTCTTTTGTGGGGGAGAATTCCGATCCGGAGATAACTCGGGTTCGATTCCACAAGTGACGATTTCGATTGGGCCAGCTTCCGTGCCTCCCTGAGCGAAATGAAATTAGTCAGGTATCTTTTGTGAGTGCTCAGTCGCTTCTCAAATATGGGGGCAATTTATATCCTACACCACGGCGTACATTGCACTATGCGCCCAGATGCAAAACGACGTCGTTTTAATTATTTTTTTTTAAAATTTCCCGCCCCAGTGAATGGCAGTAGGCTTTTCTTTAAAAAAAAACCCGCTGTTCAAGAATGTACATAATGTTATACTTGAATACACATAATGTTATACATGAATACACATAATGTTATAATAAAATATACATACTCTTTTTAAAAGATAATACACATAATCTAACATAATACATAATAAACATAAACTTTTAACATAATACACATCAACTCTTAACATAATACACACAAATTTTCTGATTCGGATGTACATAATTGTATAAAAACAATGTACATAATTGTATAAAAAATACACATAACTGTATGAACCAATACACATAACGTTGTGAACGAATACACATAACGTTGTGAACGAATACACATAATCTCAGCAACTTCCTACCGCGCCTCCCAACACGACCCCAAAACGACGTCGTTTTGGGAGGCGCGCGGTGCACAGTGCTATGTGCGCCGTGGTGTAGGATATAACGATTGAAATATGGGGCAGTAGTGACGTTCTTCAGGGAAGGTGTTGGAGCGTTATGCTGGGCAACCTGTGCACCATGCATGGTACACACGGTTGCAAAAACGACGACGTTTTGACGCCCGACTTTAAAAAAAAAAAATCAAAATTGCATAACTATACATCCAGAATTGCATAACTACACATCCATAACTTCATAACTATAAATCCAGAATTGAATAACTACACATCCATAACTTCATAACTATACATCCAGAATTGCACAACTACACATCCATAACTTCATAACTATAAATACAGAATTGCATAACTACACATCCATAACTTCATAACTATACATTCAGAATTGCATAACTACACATCCATAACTTCATAACTATAAATCCAGAATTGCATAACTACACATCCATAACTGCATAACTATACATTCATAATTGCATGCATAACTACACATCCATAACTTCATAACTAT